CACCTAACGAGAAAACAACAAACAGTAATTAGAGATGTGTACTAAGGAAACCAGGGTAGCTAATATTCCGTGGCTCAGTCACACACTGACATATTCTCTCATCTAACTTCTTACTTAGGAAACTTACAATGTGAAGAAAAAATAGAGGTCACATAGTGAATGCCTTAATTTTTATTTATTTATTTTTTAAGGTTTTGTCGTATGGTATGTGTGCTCACTAGAGAGGAGAGACACAGAGAGATACAGAGAGAGGGAAAGTGAGAAATCACCATGCCACGCCCCCTGGGGGGTGGGGGGAATAGCCACACTGCAGTCCCTTCCCCATTCTCCTCCCAGGATTCTGGATACACATACTTGGCATGATTTTCAGGCCGCCAGGTCCAGGACCTGAACTGCAGTCAGCCTTGTAAGGGAGTCCAGCACCTTAACCACCATGCCACCCTCTGGCTCCTGAGACTGTGTTTTAAGCAAGCATCCTGGTGAAGCTGATACATGTAATCCAGTGAACCCACTTATTAGAGGCTGAGGTATTTTCTACTACTGAATGTTCAGCATAGTTGTTTTATTTTTAAGGATTATTTTATTTAACTTCATGTATTTATTTACTTATTTTAATTTAACCAGAGAGGGACAGAGAGAGAGAGAGAGAGAGAGAGAGAGAGCGAGCGAGCGAGCGAGAGGGGGGGAGGGAGGGGGGGGGCGCAGGCGGGGAGGGGGGGAGGGAGGGAGGGAGGAAGGGATGGAGAAAGAGAGAGTGAGAAAGTAAGCTGCCAGGTCTGGGGTTGGGACTCAAACCAGGGTTGGCCATTTGAGAATCCATTAACCACTATGCCACCTACTGGTCCTCTCCCCTTTTTTAAAGAATTATTTTATATAATTTTATTTACTTATTTTAATTTGACCAGAGAGGGACAGAGCAAGAGGGAAAGAAGGAGAGAGAGAAAGAGAAAAAAGGCACAAAAGCAAGCAGCATAGGTTTTAGCAAAATCTTACTAATTCAGTTATAATGTATATAGTACTGCCATAATGAGAAAAAAGCTAAGATGCAGTTTTTATTTAGTCAAGGCTTTCTGGTTAAAAGCAACAAAAAATCATTGGGACCAGTAGTTAGCATAATGGCTATGTCATAATGGTTATGTTGCTGGGACTCAGTTGACCGAGGTTCAAGGCCCGGATCCAGTGGCTTAAATTCATGCTGAGTGTGTGTGCATGCATGCCCAAGATCCCAAGAGGAGAATGGAGGAGAAAGGATTGCGGCGTGGCCATCCCCCCTGGGGGGGTGATGTCTTGCTTTCTGTCTCTCTGTCTCTCTCTGTGTTTCCGGCGAGTGCATGCGCCCTATATCAAAAATCCACCCCCCCCCCAAAAAAAAGGCAACAAAAAATCATTTAAAATAAACTATCACAAATAAATGAAAAGGGAAGTTGTTATAAGAATATATGAGACAATCTCACTGGCGTCCATGAGCAGGAAATGAGATAGTAGCCAGTCTTCAGGGAAGTAAATAGTTAGAAATCAGCGAGTGGGTTAGCTGAGCTCCATTTCCGCCTCCCTGGGTTTTTGTTACAGCCGCCTTTATGTTTTCTGGTATTGTTCTTTGACTTACCACGTTATTGACTGTGACCTACACTGTTTGACCTTTAAGTCTGAAGACCCACTTTTTTCTTTCTTTCTTTCTTTTTTTTTAAGAATTATTTTATTTAACTTTATTTATTTATTTTAATTTGACCAGAGAAAGAGAGAAAATGAGAAAGCAAGCTGCCAGGTCCAGGACTCAAACTGTAGTTGCCATGTGGGAGTCCAGTGCCCTTAATCACCACGCCCTAGCCCCCTATTTTTTGATAAGCAGTAGTTACTGTTTTTAGTTCAGATTGTCCAGAGAGGGCTTGCTGGTGGCGTGGACGTTAAGGCAGGTAGATCACACGTAACCAACACACAGTTTGTGTCCTGGACCTGACAGCTTGAAAGTCACATGGCAACATGTGTGCATGCCCAAAATCCTGACAGGAGAATCGGGGAGAAGGGATTGCTGTATGGCTTTCCCTCCTGTGAGGAGATTCCTCTCTCTTTCTCTCTCCTTGTGTTTCTTTCCTGCAAGTAAATGTGCCTTGTAGCAAGCTAAAAAAAAAAAGTTCTTGAGAAAATCTGTTCAGCCAGTAATGAATTTTTTCTGCTTGGACTGTCAAAGTTCCACCTTGGGCCAGTCAGTCTTCTGTGTTTAGAATCACATGGGAAAACTAGGGCTACTGATACTGGCCCCTTTGGGGGACAAAGGGAGAGTGTTCTCAGTAATGGGCAATGTGGGTAGCATAGGCAATGATATCTGCTAATACTCCTTTATAAACTTTTATGAAGAAGGATTTGCTAAACTAATAGAGTACAGGCGGGCCAATACTTTAGGATGCTTCATAAAAGCACATGTGAAAAGTACGTGGGCAGTAGTTGGAGAGGTGTATTGGTGGACCAGTTCTCAGGAACTCAAAATAATCCTAATTATTTTTAAATCCCAGGGGTGTTACCAGTATGTACCTGGGATAATAGTAAATTTTTAAAAAGAATTATTTTATTTAACTTAATTAATTAATTAATTTTGAGAGGTTTTTGCTACAGGGTGCGTACGCTTGCCAGACAGACAGAGAGAGAGAGAGACAGAGAGACAGAAAGCGAGAAATCACCCCCCAGGGGGGATGGCCACGCCACAATCCCTTCTGCATTCTCCTCCTGGGATCTTGGGCACGCACGCACACACACCCAGCGTGAGTTTTAAGCTACCGGGTCTGGGACGCGATCCGTGGTCTACTACATGGGAGTCCGGCTACATAGCCATTACGCTAACTGCTGGTCCCAATTTCTTTATTTATTTTAATTTGACCAGAGAGGGACAAAGTGAGAGGGTGGGGAGGAGAGGGAGAGGATAAGTGAGAAAGCAAGCTACCGCAGTCGGCTGTGTAGGAGTCCAGTGCCCTTAACCACCACACCACCTGTTGGCCCCTACCAAGATTGTATTTTAAGGGAATACAAATATCCTCTCATTCTCGGAGTCAAAGAACCATTTAAAACATGAAGTTCAGCTTCATATTTCAAAACCTTTGATGTAATGAGAAAGTACATATAAAACACTGTTCAGTTACATGAGTGAATATTATGCTGTTAAAATAATTGAAATACAGGTTGAGTATCTCTTATCTAAAATGCGTAGGACCAGAAGTACTTTAGATTTCTGCTTTTAGAATATTCGCATATATATAATGAAATATCTTAGGGAGAAGACCCAAGCCTAAACATGAAATTCATGGTTCATATCCACCTTTTACACATAACCTGAAGGTAATTTTATATAGTATTTTTGTATAGTAGCATTTTTGAATAGTAGCATTTTTATTTTTCTTTTTTTGGAGAGATTTTTGCTATAGGGCATGTGCGCTCGTCAGAAAGACAGAGAGACAGAAAGCTAGAAATCACCCCCCCCGGGGGGATGGCCATGCCACAATCCCTTCTCCTCCATCCTCCTCTTGGGATCCTGGGCACGAACGCACATGCATTTGGCGTGAGTTTAAGCTGCCGGGTCCGGGACTTGAACCGCGGTGGACTACATGGGAGTCCGGCTACATAGCCATTACGCTGACTGCTGGTCCTGAACAGTAGCATTTTTGACTAATCCATCACATGATATCAGGTGTGAAATGTTCTGCCATGGCCTCTTGTTGGCACTCAGAAAGGTTTGGATTTTGGATTATTTTGGACTTTGGATTTTTGTATTATGGTTGCTCACTCTGTAATTGCCAAATTACCGTATTTTTCCTAAGAGGTCATTCTGTCTATACTGTTAGCTTCCAATATAGATATATTAGATCATCGAGAAAGTCATGATGTGTTTTTCTGTTTTTCTAAAATTTTAAAAATTTCTAAATTTCTAAATTTCTAAAATTTTCAAAAATGCATCATGATTTTCCCGGTTACCTAATATACAATTGAGAATCAGTGATAAAATTTAGAGGATTTAGAGCAATGTGCTTTTCTCCCCTCTTTGGCTTATCAGCCAGTCAATGCTGTAAATTTTAGTGTTGTGTTTTTTTCATGCTTCTAAAATCGATATGACTCCCAAAAGTAATATGCTCCATTAATAAGCTTGAAATACTGTTTTGTTCTTAAAATGTAACATCATAGAGGGGCTGGCAGGTAGTGTGGTGGTTAAGAGTGCTGGACTCCCTCTTGGCCCACCGTGGCTCGAGTCTTGGACCTGGCAGCTTGCTTTCTCACTTTCCCTCTCTCTCTCTCTCTCTCACTCTGTCCCTCTCTGGTCAAATTAAAATAAATAAAGAAATAAAATTTAATAAAATAATTCTTAAAAAATATGTAATGCCATAGAGCTTGCAGCCTTAGGGAGCTGGATCCCATGTGGCTGACTGCAGTTTGAATCCTATTCCCAGTGGTTTAAAAAACACTCCAGGTCCATGTGCACGTATGCTCAAAATCCCTACAGTATGTAGAAATAAAGGAGAAGGGATTGCAGTGTGACCATACCCCATTGGAGTATACTTTCTTCCTCTCCCTCCCTGTCTCTAATGAGCTCATACACCCTCTGACAAAAAAAAAGGGCAATATGGACCAGCAGATGGTATAATGGTTGCCTCACTGGACTCCCATGTAGTTGACTGCAGTTTGAGTCCTGGAACTGGCAGCTTGAAACTCATGGTAGGTGCATGTGTGCCCAAAATCCTGAGAGGAAAATGGAGGGGAAAGGATTGCAGTGTGACCACCACCACCACCCCCCGGGGGGTGATTTCTCTTTTCCTGTTTGTCTCTCCAGCAAGCACACATACCCTGTAGCAAAAATCTCTCAAAAAAGTGAATGAATGAATGAATGAATGAATGGTATTGTTACAGTGTTTAGGGCAAAAGTGTCAACAGTTTTCTGGGAGAAAAGAATTATTTCTGGCTTGGGATATTTGTCTTCCTTTATATTTATCTTAATTCTTTTTTTTTTTTTTCTCTTTCAGAAAAAGCCTGGGCAGAAGCTGGATCAGCAAGAATGTCACTCCTTATTTTGGTGTCTATTTTCTTATCTGCAGCTTTTGTTATGTTTTTGGTATATAAAAATTTTCCTCAGCTTAGTGAGTAAGTACACTTAGAAGAGAGAAACTGAAAATGTTTAGATTTTATTGAAATGAAAGTGGATTAAAAGTTAAATTTAAGCAACTGAACTATCATGGTGTTTGTGTATCAACCCTCATGACTTGTAGCAAATCTTTTAGATATTCATACATCTTTTGGAATATTCCTCTTATCTCCTATGTAAGATTGCCCTCATACTGCTTCTCTTGTTAAGGTCTCTCCCTCCTTCTCTACCTCCCTTCTCTTTCTTCTTTGAGTTCATTCATTCATTTCCTCAGAGAGACCGGGACATTCCAACAGGGTCTTCTGCCACAATCCACCTGCAGTCTCAGCCAGCCTGATTCACGGGACATGCGTACCCTGCATGCTCAGGGATGTCTTAAGATATGAACCTAGAACCTTTCCTGTGTGGGTGCAGTTGTACCACCACCTTGGCCCAGTCCTCATCTATCTAATGGCTTTCAAATATTTAAAAAATACCACTACAGGGACCAGCAGATGGCATAATGGTTATGTTGTTGGGCTCCCATGTAGTTGGCTGTGATTTGAGTCCTGGACCCAGCAGCTTAAAACTCATGCTGGGTGCATGTGCATGCATAAGATCCTTAGAGGAGAATGGAGGAGAAGGGATTGCACCATGGCCACCCTCTCTGGGGAGTGATTTCTTCCTTTCTGTCTCTGTCTCTCTGGTGAGTGCATGCACCCTACAGAAAATGAGAAAACACCCCTCCAGGGAGGACGGCCATGCTTCAATCCCTTTTCCTCCATTCTCCTCTCAGAATTTTTGGGGCACATGCACCTGGTATGAGTTTGAAGTTGCCAGGTCTAGGGCTCAAAATGTGGTCGACTAACTTGGGAGACCAGCAACATAAGCATTATGCCATCTGCTGGTCCCTGCGCTTGAAATTTTATAAACTTAATTATTTTTATTTTAACGTTTTGCTTTCTTACATCAAAGTAAATGCCTTTGGGAGGGTAGCATGTTATATTGTTAATACTGGTATGATTGAAGTTTACATCGGTCTGGTTTTAATCAAAGAGAGAGGAATAAAGAGCTGAGTCTTAAGAGTCTTTTAGTTTAAACATTTTATTGATAGCCATTTTAAACTTATCATGTAAGCAAATGCTCAAAATATACATTAAATACAAAGATTATTATTTGAAGCTTCTATAATCAAGAAATCATACAGTTTTAAATAATATGCAAAATGTAAAGTATTACAAAATTAATAGAAAAGGAAATATGTTTAAATTTTTCTGAACTTTGAATTGGGATGTTCCAGAAAAGGTGTAAACGGTGAATTCATTAGAGTTTTTACTAAATTTCCATTATAAATGATTATTGACTTTTAACTCATCGTGAGGATTACCCAAAATGATGTCAAATATGTTTAATATGTTAATTTTTAATTTAAAATTTAAATCAGTTATGGGCAGATGTTTTTAGCTTTTAGTTTGTGTCATTCTGAACTTTAATATGTAGATTACATATCTCATTATATTAAAATGTTAAAAATAAAAGAATTTATATACTTTTGAACTTAAAAATTGCTAATTTGGACTTAACATTGCTGATCAAGATGTCAAATCATTTTGGATAAAACTTCATGGTTTGAACTTGACTTTGATATAACTATCTTGACAAAATTCCATTTTAAAATTTTTCACTGTAATTTTATTTCTTTAGAGAAGAAAGAGTGAATATGAAGGTTCCCAGAGATATGGATGATGCCAAGGCTCTAGGAAAAGTTTTATCCAAATATAAGGACACCTTTTATGTACAAGTACTTGTAGCTTATTTTGCTACATATATTTTGTATCCTTTCAACAAAATTGTTTCTAGTTTTGTTTAAGAAAGTTTTAAAAGGTCTGCTGTCTAGTTATATATAACTTTTCCTTTTAAAAATTGTTCTTGTAGAATAAATTGTTCTTGTAGCATAAAAGTTGTAAATAACATACTGAAAATTTTAAATAGAAAAAAATTCTCATTTTAATAGTATTTACTCAACTCAGGTATTTTTACTTTTGAATATTTATTACTAGTTCTTTTGATTCTGCTTTTTCCACTTGCCAGACATTTTCCTTTTTTCTGTCTTAGTCAAGATATTTATTTTGTTTATTGTTTATTTTATTTATAATTATTGGTTAACTGGTTATATACATTTAAATAATTATTTTGCACAAATAGTCACCATATCATTAACTTTTAAAGTATTCCCTTAGGTTTGGGGATATAATTTGTTTGTAATTTTTGGCTTTTATCTATTTATTTTTGCTAGAGGGTATATGTACTCACCAGAGTCACAGAGGTGGAAGAGGGGAAGCAAGAAAGCACTCCCCCCGCCCCTGGGCCATGGGGGGGGGTGGGAGGGGGGCACAATCACACTGCAATCTCTTCTCCATCTTCCCCACCTTTTGACATTTTTGGCATAAATGCACACCTGGAGTGTTTTACTAGCCTCTGGGTCGGGGAATCAAACCATGCTGTTGGCCTTATAGGATGCAGCTACCTTAGCAGGCAGGCCATGAAGCTGACCTAGTTTATTGCTTTTTTTTTTTTTTTTTTTTTTAAGCTATTTGGCTCCACATCTGAAATGGGAATATGGTGGCACCACAGTATTAAAAAAGCTGGTTGTGGGGAATGGCCATGCCACAATATCTTCTCCATTGCCTTCTTTCGATTTGGGGTGCATACACACACACACACACACACACACACGCACACACACATTTGCCCAGCATGTGCTTTAAGCCAACGGGTCTGGGACTTGAACCATAGTGTTGTCCATGTGGGATTGAGCACCTTAACCACCACACCACCTGATAGCTCATTTTATTTTGCTTTTATATTAATAGGTGTGTTATGAATATCCTTTTTTTCTATTTTTTCTATTTAATTGTTTTAATTAGTCATTCAAAGGAATGAATTTTTGTTATCATTCTTAGTGTATATTTCTATTTTTATAAAAATATATTTATAATTTAACTGGATAGGAAAATAGCTTTATACATATTTTCATAGTGCTTATGCTGTTGATGATTAATCTTTCAGTTTGCAGACTTTGATTTTCATTCCTAATTTTTGTATCCTTTATTTTTATCCAAAAAATTTTTTAAGTCTTTTTGGCTAATTAAAAAATTACCTCTTGATATGAAGATAATTATCCTTTTAAACCGCATTTGTTTAAAAAGGCAAATTATTTGCTTTGTTAAGTTTCTCAAAGTATTTAGAGTCTTGGTTCCTTTTTTATCACCTGCATGTCTTTTAGTTTGTTGGGCTTTTCAACTAAAACCTTTTCTCCTATGAGATTTAATAGCATTTTCTTTTCTTGGATTTGTATTTCATATAACATTTAAGTTTCTATAGTTTATCTGCTTATGCAAAACGTTTTAAGTATGTATATAAACACATTAGAGAAATTACTGTTAGCATAAGGAACTTAGTGTGATAAGTATGTTTCTAAGTTTTTGCAACTAAAGCAACCATTACTTTTCCTAATAGTAAAGATGTATTTGTACTTAAACAGTCTGCTCTATGTAAGTACTTTATTATTATTTTCCCTATTTAATAATTAGCAAAATTAAACTTTAGAAAAAATAATTATGTACCTATCTTTTGTTTTTTTTTTTGAAGAGGTTTTCGCTACAGGGCGCGTGCGCTCGCCAGACAGACAGAGAGAGACATAGAGACAGAAAGCGAGAAATCACCCCCCAGGGGGGATGGTCACGCCGCAATCCCGTCTCCATTCTCCTCTTGGGATCTTGGGCACGCACGCACACCTGCCCAGCGTGAGTTTTAAGCCACCAGGTCTGGGACGTGAACCGCGGTTGACTACATGGGAGTCCAGCGACATAGCCTTTACACTAACTGCTGGTTCCCTGTACCTATCTTTTAAAAAAAAAAAAACTATTTATTTATTTATTTCCATTTGTTATTGTTTTTTTTTTTTTTTTTTCCTTTATTTGACGAGAAAGAGAGAGAGAGAGAAAGGGAAAGTGAGAAAGTAAGCCCAGCCTGAACTATGGTTGGCCATGTGTCCCCCTATCCACCACACTACCTGCTGGTCCCCGTACCTATCTTTTTTAAAAAATTATTTTATTTAATTTTATTTACATGTTTATTTATTTTTAATTTTGACCAGAGAGGTACAGAGTGAGAGAGAGGGAAAGTGAGAAAGCAAGCCACCATATCTGGGACTTGAACCGTGGTCAGCTATGTGGAGTCCAGCCACCCCTAACCACTATGGCACCTGCTGGCCCCTGTACCTATCTTTTTTTTCCCCCAACTTTATTTATTTATTTAATTCTTTGATCAGATAGGGACAGAGTGAGAGTGAGAATGAGAGAGAGAGAGAGAGAGGAAGGAAGGAGGGAGGGAAGGAGAAAGCAAGTTGCCAGATCTGGGACTCAATCTGTGGTTGCCATGTGGGAGTCTAGCACCCTTAACCACCATGCCACCTGTTGGCCCCTGTATCTATCTTTTTAAGAGATCATTTTGGGCAGCTATTAATAATTTAATTGTACATACACTATTTTTCCATGAACTCCATTTTGTGACTTATCTGTGAAAACTGTAGTGTTAGGCTTACAGGGTGTTTTGTCTTTATATACTGTAATCATAAGTTGAAATTTATGAAACATCTAGCTCATCCAACTAACCAGAAGAAGGTAAATTGAAAGAATACGGTTGAATTTATTATTACAAAATACATTTGGTTTAAAATTTTTGTAAGTTATTGTCTAGGGATTATTGTCAATTCAGTGGGTTTTATTGCACATTGTTACTACGTATTTAATAATTTAAAATTTGTTGTAGTCAGCAGGTAGGTTTTTAAGGCAGTAGACTCCCACATGTCTGATTGCGGTTTAAATCCTGGACCTGGTGGCTCGCTTTCTCACTTTCTCTCGCTTTCTGTGTCTCTTTTTTTTTGAGGGGGGAGAGGTTTTTGCTGTAGGGCGTGTGTGCTCGCCAGACAGACAGAGACAGAGAGATAGAAAGTGAGAAATCACCCCTCAGGGGGGATGGCCACGCTGCAATCCCTTCTCCTCCATTTTCCTCTCGGGATCTTGGGCACACGCACACGCGCCCTGAGTGAGTTTTAAGCTACTGGGGCTGGGACGCGAACCTCGGTCGACTATGCGGGAGTCCAGCGACATAGCCGTTACGCTAACTGCTGGTCCCTCTTTCTGTGTCTCTTTGTCAAGCACACGTGGCATGTAGCAGATTTAAAAAAAAAAAAAAAAATGAAAAATAAAATAAAATGGTTCTTTTTTTTTTCTTTAAAGAATTATTTTAGGGCCTCGCAGGTGGCGTGGTGGTTAAGGGCGCTGGGGTTGAGAAAGGAGCCTAACCTTGACCTTTATTTAGAACATGCTGGGCTATCCCCTTAGTTAAGGAAGCCATATCCCACATGGCTGACCACATAGTTCAGGTCCTGGACCTGGTGACCTGAAAAACACGTTGGTCAAATGTGTGTGTGCCCAACATCCTGATGGGATGGACAAATGGAGGAAATGGGATTGTGGCATGACTGTGCCACATAGGGGAGGTACCTTCTCCCTCTCTCTCTCTGCTTTCTCTGGCAAGTACATGTTCCTTCTGGAAATTTTAAAGAATAATAATAATAAAATTAAAGCATGCTGAGTTTTGGGGCCGCCAGGTGGTGTGATGGTTAAGGGCACTGGACTCCCATGTGGCCAACCACTGTTCAAGTCCCAGACCTGGCAACTTGATTTCTCTCTTTCTTTCTTTCTCTTACTCTATCTCTCTCTGGTCAAATTAAAATAAACAAATAAATAAAGTTAAATAAAATAATTCTTTTAAAAGTTTTATTGTTATTATTGTTTATTTTTAAATTTGACCAGAAAGTGAGAGAGAAAGGAAAAGTGAGAAAGTAAGCCTCTGGGTCTGGGAGTTGAACCATGATTGGCCATGTGGGAGTGCAGCAACTATACCACCATGCTACCTGCAGATCCCAAAATAATTCTTACCAGAGGGAAAAAAAAAAGCTGAGTTTTAAAATATTCAGATGAGGCTCAAGTGGCGTGGTGGTTACAGGCACTGGACTCCCACATGGCTGACTATTGTTCAAGTCCCGGACCTGGTGTCTTGCTTTCTCTCTCTCTCACTTTGTCCCTCTCTGGTCAAATTAAAATAAACAAATCAAAGTAAATAATTCTTTAAAAAAATATTCACATGGAGATATCCATACCAAAATGTCAGTCAGTAGGGAACTAGTTGAATAAGATAATTCTATATACTGGGATATTATGTAGCTGTTAAAAAGATTGAGGAGCATCTCTATATGATATTTCTACATTAATTCAGGAAATACTGTTAAGTTAAGAAAGCAAAGTGCAGAATAGTGTTGAAGTAGGCTATGTTTTATTTAAGAAGGAGATAATATGAGTAATGCACATTCACATGAAAATATTCTGGATATCTTCTTTTTTCAAGTATTTATTTAATTTTATTTACTATTATTTTTAATTTAATTTACTGTAGGGTACGTGTGCACACCAGAGAGACAAAGAGAAAGAGGGAGAGAGACAGAGGAGTGAAAAAGCAAACTACCAGGTCTGCAACTCAAATTGCAGTTGGCCATCTGGGAGTCCAGTGCCTTAACCACTGTGCCACCTGCTAGTCTCTAGTCTGTATTTTTTTTTTAAGTATTGTTTTATTTAACTTTATTTATTTATTTTAATTTGACCAGAGAGGGACAGAGAGAGAGAGAGGGAGAGAGAGGGAGGGAGCGAGGTAATGTGAGTAAGCAACCCGCCAGGTCCGGGAATCAAACCGTTGTTGGCCATCTGGGAATCCAGTGCCCTTAAACACCATGCCACCTGCCGGCCCCCTGGATATCTTTAAAAACTAATAAAAATGTTCATCTTTTGGGAAAGGGATGAAATAGGTATGGAAGTAGAACTTCTGAATATACCTTATTTAGTTTAATTGACTTTAGAACCAACTAAATGTTTTACATAATTATGAACAAATCAAAAGAAAAGAAATTGGAATTTTTAAGATTTTTTTCATTTTTCATTTGTCATTATTTTTATTTTTAAATTTGACCAGTGAGAAACAGAGAAAAAGGGAAAGTAAGAAAGCAAGCTGCCAGGTCCGGCACTCGAACAGCTATTGGCCATGGGAGAGTCTAGCATCCCAATCACCACGCCACCTGCTGGCCCCAGAAATTGGAATCTTAAACATCCAAAGCAGCCTCATACCCATCAGGATAGCCATTACCCAAAAACACAACAAAACAAAAAAACAGAAAATAATAAGTATTGGGAAAGATGTGGAATAATTGAAACCCTTGTGTACTATTGGTGGAAATGTAAAATGGTACAGGTACTGTAGAAGACAGTATGGCAGTTCCTCATAATTTAAAAGTAGAATTTTCACGTGATCCAATAATTCTAAATATATGTCCCAAATAATTAAAAGCAGGTTTTTTTTTTAAATAATTATTTTATTTAACTTTATTTATGTATTTATTTATTTTAATTTGACCAGAGAGGGACAGAGAGAGAGAAAGTGAGAAAGCAAGCTGTCAGGTCCAGGACTCAAACTACAGTTGGCCATATGGGAGTCCAACGTCCTTAACGTCCATACCACCTGCTGGCCCTGAAAGTAGGGTTTTAAAGATATTTATACATCTGTTTTCGGAGCAGCAGCATTTACAATAGCCAAAAAGTGGAAGCAACCCAGGTGTCCTTCAACAAATGAATGAGTAAACAAAATGTGGTGTGTATGTATAGACAAATATTATTCTGCCATACAAGGTAGCACCAGAACTGATAGACTCAACTACATGGATTAACTGTGAAAACTGCTAAGTCAGAGAAACTAGACAAAAGGAATATACTGTGTGCTTCTGCCTATATGAGGTAGCTACTGGGTTCTTGGAAAAGTCATGACACATTTTTGCATAGTAAAACAAAAATATATCATGACTTTCCCAATGACCTAGTAGAATGGGCAAATTCATAGAAGACTTCACAGTAATCTTTTTTTTTTTTTTTTTTGAGAGGTTTTTGTTATAGGGTGCGTGCACTCGTCAGAAAGACACAGAGAGACAGAAAGCGAGAAATCACCCCCCGGGGGAACAGCCACTCTGCAATCTCTTCTCCTCCATTCTCCTCTTGGGATCTTGGACATGCATGCACACTCACCTGGCGTGAGTTTAAGCCACCAGGTTTGGTACTCGAACCGCGGTCGACTATATGGGAGTCCAGTGACATAGCCATTAGGCCAACTGCAGGTCCTGATAGAAGACTTCAAAGAGATCTTAAATTGCTTTTAGTAATCATATTGTTAGTAATGGTGTTGTTTTTCTGAAATACCTAAATATATAGAAAAGTTTCAGAATACTTCTAATATATGTATTTTACATAATCTTTATATGTAAGGCAAGTAGGTAATTGTATTTTTGTTTTTCTTAGGTTTTTGCCTTAGGGCATGTGTGCTTACTAGAAAGAGAAAGAGACAGAGACAGCGAGAGGAAAAGTGAGAAATTACCCCCTAATGGGGTATGACCATATCGCAGTCCCTTCACTCTCTTCCCTATATCTTGGGCATGCACATACATGCACCAGTGTGAATTTCAAGCCACCAGGTCCAGAAATTGAACCACAGTCAGCCATATGGGAGTCCAACAATGTAACCGCTATGCCATCTGTTGGCCCCTGTGCTGATGTGATTAAGATTTTTCAGTGTGAGGCCAGCTGGTGGCATGGTGATTAAGGACGCTATACTCCCACATGAACAACCGCTGTTGGAGTCCTGGACCTGGCGACTTGCTTTCTCGCTCCCCGCCCCCACTCTGGTCAAATTAAAATAAATAAATAAATAAATAAATAAATAAAATAATTTGTTTTTTTAAAAAAATATTTTTCAGTGGAAGAGAAGAGAAACATAAATCTGACAGCTAAAATATTAAGCTTAAATCATGTTCTCATGCAGAAGGAAAACGAGTTTTGTTAACTGCTAATACAAGATAAGAACAGAACATGAAAGTACACTAAGGGATACAACAAGCAAAATTTAGTAAGTGGTGAATTTTACAAATGATGTGGTTTCTTCAATAATTAAGTTGCAAGGAAGGGCCAGCCAGTTCCAAGGCTCAGTAGCTTGAAAAACATGACAAGTGTGTGTGCATGGAGGCCCAAAATTCCAAAAGAAGAAATGGAGGAGAAAGGGTTGTGATGTGACCATTCCCCTCTAGGGGAGCTTTCTTCCCTTTCTGTCTCCAGTGAGTGTACACACTTCCTGACAACATTTTTTAAATTAGTAAGATTTGTGACTATATTTTGTAGCCCCTATGTTAAGTGAGAAGTAATTTGAGGTAAATTTTCATAGTTAAATTAGAAATAATTTACCCAAGGGACTAGCAGTTAACGTAATGGCTATGTCACTGGACTCCCATGTAGTTGACCGCGGTTCGAGTTCCGGACCCAGCAGGTTGAAACTCACATCGGCGCGTGTGCGTGCATGCCCAAGATCCTGAGAGGAGAAAGGAGGTGAAGAGATTGCGGCGTGGCCATCCCCTCTGGGGGGTGATTTCTCGCTTTCTGTCTCTCTGTCTTTCTCTGCCTGTCTGGTGAGCGCACGCGTCCTATAGCAAAAAAAAGAAAAAATCATTTACCCAAATTCTCAGAAATTATGTTTTTTTGAAAACACTGGAGAGTATATCAGATGTTTTAGAGAAGCACATTATTTAAAAGGTTACTGAAGACTTTTTACCCTTTCTCTTTTTATTTTTCCCTGCCAAGGTATTCTCTGGTATATGTTGGGTATTTGTCTTGTGTTTTTGTTTTAGGAGCACACTCTGTTAATATTGTATTTATGTTACTATTTAGTAAATGATCATTTTAGAAACACTAGTGTAGAGGGGTCATAAACTTTTAGATATAATTTTAGATATAATTTTATTTTTAACATTGAAATATGGATATAGTTGGATGTAATAATATTGGATATATAGTTTATCTTTTCATACTGAAATATGAATATAATCTCAACAACATAATTTTTATATTTATCCTTTTTCTGAAATACTGAATTTGTCTTTTTAAAAATCTCTTTCGTTATGTTTTAATCCTTAACTTATAAGTTAACAGCTTGCAAACATTTGCTATTCCAGGCTCAATATTTCTCAGTATACTCTCAGGGTTCCTTTACCCCTTTCCTCTAGCCTTATTTCTTGTTTGTTTGGTAAGTATACAAAATTCAACTGGGAGACCGGAAAAAGTATTTGAATAGCTTTAAATAGAATGATGAGGATGAAGCTGGCACCAGTCTTTATAAGCATGAGTTCATTGGTTTGAAAGGCTTTAAATGTTAAAGTGGTATCTGTTTGGTCCCTCAGTAAGGAGATGTTACAGTTTGTTTCTAGAACAGGGTTCATTGTTTTAGCCTTTCTTTGCTCTGGTGTTTTATAACTTTGAATAGTCCAAGAATGTTGTTGGGTACGATGAGTTAATTTCCCGGGCTGGGGTATTATTTTCAAGCATAAAATAACGGGGGGAAAAAAAAGGGCTCCTGAGGTTTTATTCTTAGCCTTTAAGTATTTGAGTTTGGCCACTAAGTGTGTTAATCACACATGCCAGTTTGTTTTAATTGGTCTCATTTGAGTTACAGTTTTGCCAGAGAAAATTCTAGATCAAATGATTTCTTGTTCCCTGCACAAGAAATGTCACGTTGTGTACCTTCCTAACTGCAAAAGGAGTATGCTAGTTGGGCTTTTCCTCAGGTGAATATATCTGTGTGAATAAGATGAGAGAATACAAAACGCGTATGACTTCTTGTTTTCTAGTGTTCTGGCCTTGGTGCCTCATTCTGCTATATGCTGTCCTATTTGGTTGGGAGACCAGTGGTATACAAATACCTAACAGAGAAAGCAGTGAAATGGTCACAACAGGTAAACATATTTTTAAGTCACTTAATGTAACTTGCGTAGTTGAGAGGTCAGTATATAATCCCTACGTAAGTTTAATATATAATGCTTATATTGTACCTGTATAAATAAAATAATAAATACTTTTTGACTAAAATAAAATGTTAAGCAAATATGAACATAAATAACTTCAGTACAAGTTTTTTGTAGTGTTAATTAAATTCTCCCCCCCACCCCCTGTGAAATAATTAGGCTTTTATTGAGATTTCCAACTTATTTTAGAAACACAAGTAATTTTCTTCACATTTTCAGGGGATCCAGTTTTCAGACTAGTTATTATCTGCAAATGTTTTTTATATTAGTAGCATTTATCCCACCTTCAATAATTGTATTAAATTTTTTTTTTCATAGTTTAAATTCTGTATCTTAGTAAGTTCGATCAGTAGAGGAAACACCTCCTCTGCTTTTTGTTGATGCAGCATGCCATCAGTAGGTCACTGAAAAGCTTCTATGAGGCAATTCCTCTAATGCATTTCATCAGCGAGAACAACTATTATCTTCAGCAGAATCTACAAAGACTAGCAATGATGAATACAAGCACAGCCACACAGAGAGCGCTAACATCGTATGGCTAAGGGAATCCTGTTTTTATAAGGAATCAGATGAAACAGAAGACTATTTAACCTCATGGAAATTCTAGAGAGCATCCTGCTTTACTTTTGTTTTACCAAATAGGAAATTAAGAGGGAGAAAGCATTTTGTCCCAGTTTACAATCATTAACTTTAAAAAAATTTTATTATTATTATTTTAGAGATTTTGCTGTAGGGCACGTGCACTAGCTGGAGAGAGAGAGAAAGACAAACTGAGAAATCACCCCCTCCACAGGAGAGATGGCCATGCTGCAGTCCCTTCTCCATTCTCCTTTTTGGATTTTGGGCACACATATACTTGTACCCAGTATGTTTCAAACCTCCGGGTCTGGGATTCAAACCACAGTCAACCATGTGGGAGTCCAGTGTTGTAACCGTTATGTCATTTGCTGGTCCCAATAGCAAATTAAAAGATAATAACAGGGACCAGCAGATGGTGAAATGGTTACGTTGCTGGACTCCCAAATGGCTATGGTTTGAGTTACCATCCTGGAGAAGAAGGGATTGAGGTGTGGCCATCCCCCCGGGGGTTGATTTCTTGCTCTCTGTCTCTCTGACTCTTCCTGGTGAGCACATGCACCTAGGGGAGCTTTCTTCCCTTTCTGTCTCCAGTGAGTGTACACACTTCCTGACAACATTTTTTAAATTAGTAAGATTTGTGACTATATTTTGTAGCCCCTATGTTAAGTGAGAAGTAATTTGAGGTAAATTTTCATAGTTAAATTAGAAATAATTTACCCAAGGGACTAGCAGTTAACGTAATGGCTATGTCACTGGACTCCCATGTAGTTGACCGCGGTTCGAGTTCCGGACCCAGCAGGTTGAAACTCACATCGGCGCGTGTGCGTGCATGCCCAAGATCCTGAGAGGAGAAAGGAGGTGAAGAGATTGCGGCGTGGCCATCCCCTCTGGGGGGTGATTTCTCGCTTTCTGTCTCTCTGTCTTTCTCTGCCTGTCTGGTGAGCGCACGCGTCCTATAGCAAAAAAAAGAAAAAATCATTTACCCAAATTCTCAGAAATTATGTTTTTTTGAAAACACTGGAGAGTATATCAGATGTTTTAGAGAAGCACATTATTTAAAAGGTTACTGAAGACTTTTTACCCTTTCTCTTTTTATTTTTCCCTGCCAAGGTATTCTCTGGTATATGTTGGGTATTTGTCTTGTGTTTTTGTTTTAGGAGCACACTCTGTTAATATTGTATTTATGTTACTATTTAGTAAATGATCATTTTAGAAACACTAGTGTAGAGGGGTCATAAACTTTTAGATATAATTTTAGATATAATTTTATTTTTAACATTGAAATATGGATATAGTTGGATGTAATAATATTGGATATATAGTTTATCTTTTCATACTGAAATATGAATATAATCTCAACAACATAATTTTTATATTTATCCTTTTTCTGAAATACTGAATTTGTCTTTTTAAAAATCTCTTTCGTTATGTTTTAATCCTTAACTTATAAGTTAACAGCTTGCAAACATTTGCTATTCCAGGCTCAATATTTCTCAGTATACTCTCAGGGTTCCTTTACCCCTTTCCTCTAGCCTTATTTCTTGTTTGTTTGGTAAGTATACAAAATTCAACTGGGAGACCGGAAAAAGTATTTGAATAGCTTTAAATAGAATGATGAGGATGAAGCTGGCACCAGTCTTTATAAGCATGAGTTCATTGGTTTGAAAGGCTTTAAATGTTAAAGTGGTATCTGTTTGGTCCCTCAGTAAGGAGATGTTACAGTTTGTTTCTAGAACAGGGTTCATTGTTTTAGCCTTTCTTTGCTCTGGTGTTTTATAACTTTGAATAGTCCAAGAATGTTGTTGGGTACGATGAGTTAATTTCCCGGGCTGGGGTATTATTTTCAAGCATAAAATAACGGGGGGAAAAAAAAGGGCTCCTGAGGTTTTATTCTTAGCCTTTAAGTATTTGAGTTTGGCCACTAAGTGTGTTAATCACACATGCCAGTTTGTTTTAATTGGTCTCATTTGAGTTACAGTTTTGCCAGAGAAAATTCTAGATCAAATGATTTCTTGTTCCCTGCACAAGAAATGTCACGTTGTGTACCTTCCTAACTGCAAAAGGAGTATGCTAGTTGGGCTTTTCCTCAGGTGAATATATCTGTGTGAATAAGATGAGAGAATACAAAACGCGTATGACTTCTTGTTTTCTAGTGTTCTGGCCTTGGTGCCTCATTCTGCTATATGCTGTCCTATTTGGTTGGGAGACCAGTGGTATACAAATACCTAACAGAGAAAGCAGTGAAATGGTCACAACAGGTAAACATATTTTTAAGTCACTTAATGTAACTTGCGTAGTTGAGAGGTCAGTATATAATCCCTACGTAAGTTTAATATATAATGCTTATATTGTACCTGTATAAATAAAATAATAAATACTTTTTGACTAAAATAAAATGTTAAGCAAATATGAACATAAATAACTTCAGTACAAGTTTTTTGTAGTGTTAATTAAATTCTCCCCCCCACCCCCTGTGAAATAATTAGGCTTTTATTGAGATTTCCAACTTATTTTAGAAACACAAGTAATTTTCTTCACATTTTCAGGGGATCCAGTTTTCAGACTAGTTATTATCTGCAAATGTTTTTTATATTAGTAGCATTTATCCCACCTTCAATAATTGTATTAAATTTTTTTTTTCATAGTTTAAATTCTGTATCTTAGTAAGTTCGATCAGTAGAGGAAACACCTCCTCTGCTTTTTGTTGATGCAGCATGCCATCAGTAGGTCACTGAAAAGCTTCTATGAGGCAATTCCTCTAATGCATTTCATCAGCGAGAACAACTATTATCTTCAGCAGAATCTACAAAGACTAGCAATGATGAATACAAGCACAGCCACACAGAGAGCGCTAACATCGTATGGCTAAGGGAATCCTGTTTTTATAAGGAATCAGATGAAACAGAAGACTATTTAACCTCATGGAAATTCTAGAGAGCATCCTGCTTTACTTTTGTTTTACCAAATAGGAAATTAAGAGGGAGAAAGCATTTTGTCCCAGTTTACAATCATTAACTTTAAAAAAATTTTATTATTATTATTTTAGAGATTTTGCTGTAGGGCACGTGCACTAGCTGGAGAGAGAGAGAAAGACAAACTGAGAAATCACCCCCTCCACAGGAGAGATGGCCATGCTGCAGTCCCTTCTCCATTCTCCTTTTTGGATTTTGGGCACACATATACTTGTACCCAGTATGTTTCAAACCTCCGGGTCTGGGATTCAAACCACAGTCAACCATGTGGGAGTCCAGTGTTGTAACCGTTATGTCATTTGCTGGTCCCAATAGCAAATTAAAAGATAATAACAGGGACCAGCAGATGGTGAAATGGTTACGTTGCTGGACTCCTCAATGGCTATGGGTTGAGTTACCATCCTGGAGAAGAAGGGATTGAGGTGTGGCCATCCCCCCGGGGGTTGATTTCTTGCTCTCTGTCTCTCTGACTCTTCCTGGTGAGCACATGCACCTTATAGCAAAAATCTCTTGGAAAAAAAAAAAAATTAGGACCAGCAGATGACATAATGGTTATATTGCTGGACTCCCACAGAGTTAACCGTGGTTCAGGTCCCAGACTCAGAGACTTAAAAGTCACACTGGGCACACATGCATGTGTGCCCAAGATCCCTAGAGGAGAATGGAGAAGGGATCTCATCATGGCAAGCCCCTCCAGGGGGATGATTTTTTGCTCTCTGTCTGTCTGTCTGTCTCTCCACTGAGTGCATGTAACCTGTAGCAGAAATCTTAAAAAATTTTTTTTTTCTTTTTGCTATGGGATGCATATGCTCACCAGAAAAACCAAGATAAAGTGAGAAAGCAAGCCACCAGATCTGGGACTCAAATTGTGGTCTGCCATGTGGGAGTCTAGCACCTTAACCACTATGCCATCTACTGGCTCCTATAATTATTTACTTTTTTTTTTTTTAAT